ATTGAAATCATTTCAAGTATTTTTTCAGACTACAATGAATTAAAACTAGAAATAACAATAACAAGTGAAACTTTGGAAACTATTCAAATACATGGAAATTAAACAGCATGGTTCTGAACAACCTATGGGTCAAACAAGAAATTAAACAGGAAATGAAAAAATTTCTAGAAACCAGTGAAAATAAAAGATACATCATACCAAAACCTGTGGGACGCTCAGCCAGTGAGCGGGAACCGGTCTGTACATGGGATCCGAACCCTCGGACGGGAGCGCCTCCACGCTTCCCAAGTGGCACACTATCCAGTGCGCCACCAGGCCGGCCCACAACAAATTTTTTTAAAATGAGATAATTTCAAGTGTCTTTTCATACCACAACAGATTAACACTAGAAATAACAAGCAAAACTCTGGAAACTATACAAATACATGAAAATTAAACAACATGCTCCTGAGTGACCTATGGGTCCAAGAAGAAATTAAACAGGAAACCAATAAAATTCTTGAAACTAATGAAAATAAAGACACGTCATACCAAAATGATTGGATTACTGCAAAAGCAGTATTAAGATGGAAGTTTATTGCAATAAACACATCAGAAGAACAGATTTCATATAAAAAAACCTAACACTTCACCTCAAAGAACTAGAAAAACAAGAAAAATCCAATCCCCAAATTAGTAGATGGAAAGATAATTAAGATCAGAGCAAAACTAAATGAAATAGAGACCAGAAACCTACAGGTCAATATCTCTGATGAACATAGACACAAAAATCATCAACAAATTAGCAATCAGAATACAGCAACACATAAAAAAATTATACACCATGATCATGTGAGAATCATCCCAGAGATGCTAAGATAGTTCAGCCTACACAAGTCAATAAATGTGATACGCCGCACCAACAAAATCGAGAACAAGAAATATGTGATTATCTCAATAGACACACAAAAAGCATTTCACAAAATTCAACACCCCTTCGTGATAAAGACTCTCATCAAATTAGGTATAGAAGGAAAGTATCTCAACACAGTAAAAGCCATATATTACAAACCTAGTGCCAATATCATCCTCAATGGGGAAAAACTGAAAGCTTCACCCTTAAGAACAAGGAGACAAAGATGCCCACTCACCATTCCTATTCAACATAGTATTGGAAGTACATAGCAAGCAGGCAAGAGAAAGAAACAAAGGCCATCTAGATTGGAAGACGAAGTCAAATATTCCCTGTTTGCCAATGACATTATCCTACATTTAGAAAAACGTAGACTATGAAAAAACTCTAAGCTGACGGTTTCAGTAAATTTGCTAGGTTCAAAGTCAACACACAAAATCAGTAGTGTTTTTATACTCCAATAACGAAATAGCAGTGAAAGCAATCAAGAAAGCAAGTCCATTTGCAATAGCCACCAAAATAAAAAAAAAAAAATACCTAGGAATAAATTTAACCAAGGAAATGAAAGATCACTACAATGAGAACTACAAATCACTGCTGAAAGAAATTAAAGAGGACACACAATGATGGGAAGACATTCCATGCTCTTGGATTGGAAGAATTAACATTGTGAAAATGTTCTGCAGATTCAATCCCCTACAAAATAGGGAACCCAGAAATCAACCCACATACTTACAAGCCAACTGATATTCAACATAGGCAACAGGAGCATACATTGTTGAGAAGACTGCCTCTTCATTAAGTGGTGCTGGGAGAACTGGGCATCCATATGTAGAAGAATGAAACTAGACCTATACCTCCCACCATATACCAAAATCAACTCAAAATGGTTTAAAGACTTGGACCTGAAATTATAAAACTACAGAAAGAAAATGTAGGTAAACACTTAAGGAAATAGGACTGGGTAAAGAAGACCTCAGAAGCACAGGCAACAGAAGTACAACTAAATGGGATTATGTCAAACTAAAAAGCTTCTGCACAGCAAAAGTTAGAATGAAAAGACAATCTACAGAATGGGAGAAAATATTTGCAAACTATGCATCTGAGAAGGGATTAATATCCAGAATATACAAGGAACTCAGACAACTTAACAGTATAAAAACAAATAATCCAATTAACAAATGGACAAAGTAGCTGAATAGGCATTTCTCAAAGGAAGATATACAAATGGCCAACAGACACATGAAAAAATGCTCACCATCACTAAGCATCAGGGAAATGCAAATCAAAATCACATTAAATATCTCATGCCAGTTAGACTGGCCATTATCAAAAAGATTTACAAATGCTGGCAAGGATGCGGAGAAAATGGAATCCTCCTATACTAGTTGGTGGGACTGTAAAATTGGTGTAGCCATTACGGAAAATGGTATAGAGGTTTCTCAAACAGCTTCAGATAGAACTGCCATAGGATCCAGTAGTCCCGCTGCTGGGAGTATACCCAAAGAAATGGAAATCATCATGTCGAAGCAATACCTGCACTCCCATGTTCATCACAACTCTATTTTGAATAGCCAAGAGTTGGAACCAATTTAAATGTCTATTGATGAATGACTGGACAAGGAAAATATGGTATAGATACACAATGGAATACTATTCTGCCATAAAAAGAAATGAAATTCTGCATTCACAGCAACATGGATGAACTTAGAGAAAATTATGTTAGGCAAACTAAGCTAGGTACAGGAAGAGAAATATCCTTTGTCCTCACTCATAAGTAGGAGCTGGAAAAAAAAGAAAGATACAACAATCACAATAATTCCTTGAACTTTCAAAGTTAGAGAATAGAACTGAAGCCTGCCAGAGATGGGAAAAGGGTGGGACAGTAGGGGTTAGAGAGAAAGTGGTAAAGGGCCATAAAATAAGTTTACATTGTATAATGATAAAATTAAAAAACAAACTGAGTGAAAAAAAAAATCGGCCTCATAATTCAGCTTTTATGTATAGTGACTTTTTCTTTTTGTTCTTTTTTTTTTTTTTTTTGGCAGTACCCCAAAATTTTATAGATTATCATTAAAATTTTATTACATTATCATTAAAATATGCAATCAAATCAGCAGATTTTAAGTCCTTGAGAAAAAGGGAAACTCAGAAGTTGTGAGCAAATACAGATAAGTTATAGCTTACTATAATGCTTTGATTGTGTTAACACTTTGGGGTTAACTATTTTATAATGAGGTCACAAATTATCCTTAGATACAAGAAGTTGCATTTTTTAATGTCCGTTTCATGGAAATTTTACTTACACACATGTTCAGGGCGGGAGCGCCGCCGCGCTTCCCAAGCGGCGCACTTATCCAGTGCGCCACCGGACCGGCCCCTATAGTGACTTTTTCTAAAGACAGCAATTCTATTTGGAAGATGATTTAGGAAATGAAAAATTCATTCCTTTTTCTTTCTTTTCATTTATATATAAGTGATTGATTTTTAACTGAGTTTGATTTCCCCTCCCTAATCCCAAGTGACATTTGGCAGTGTCTGGAGATGTTTTTGGTTGTTACAACTGGGAGAAGTGGGTGCTATTGACATCTAGTGGGCAAAGGACAGGGATACTGCTTAATTCGTAGCATTCATAGACAGCCCCCACAACAAAGAATTATCTGACCCAGAATATCAGTGCTGCTGCAGTTGGGAATTCCTACCAAACCTTGTATATAAAAGGAGCTATAACTTCCTTAGTCACCTACCTGAAATTGTTAAATCTTACAAATGGAAAGTATATCTTACGTTAAAATGATCCAGAAATTCATACACATGACTTATTTTCTTAACAATTCTAGGTATATCTAGAATTTATACTCTGAAAACTGCTCAGAGTAGCAAATTCATCCCTGTCATTATCCATAAATACAGTTTTAAATTAGAACCATTAAGCCATTGAGAGATGAACAAGGTAGCTTAATTTATGATTTAGCTTTAGTAAATGAAACATTGTTTTCTCATAGTGATATAATCAGTTCAAAAAACAGCCCTTTAAACTATATTGTGTATGTGCACCTTTTAAAAAATGAACCCTCCATTTTTTGTAGATGTTTTGAAGAAATGCAGAACCAAGGTTAAAAAAGTAACATTTATCATTTTGTAAAGGTCAGAAAATATGTCAAACCTTCCTTTCTAGTGATTTAATCATGACATAAACCAGTTGGTTTTTAAATAATTCACATTGATTTGTCATATTAATGTACATGTACTTTATGTTTTTGTGTCATCAAAGATTTATGATACTGCTCATTGGGGTTTTTTGAAGGGAGTACTTTTCTTCCCATTATACTTCTTTTCCTTTTTAAATGATTGTTTTCTCCCTTTTAATCTCAAGTTTTAATCATAAAATAATTTTAGATTTAAAAGTTGCAAAAATAGAGTTCTTGTATACTCTTTACTAAGCTCCTAATGTGTCTTATATAACTATAGTATAATTATCAAAAGGAAATCAACATCACTACAATATTGACTCAACTACAGATCTTATTTGTATTTCAACAGTATTTCTACTAATGTGTTTTTTCTGTTCTAGGATCCAAATCAGGATCCCACATTGTGGTTAGCTGTCGTGTTTCCTTAGTTTCCTCAGTCTGTGACAGTTACTCAGTCTTTCCTTGTTGTTCTTGAATTTGACAATTTTAAAGAGTCAGCTATATCACATGTCTCAGTTTAGGATTGTCTGATGTTTTTTCTTGAGTAGACTGAAGTTATGTTTTTGGCAACACCACCATAGAAGTGATGCTGTACTGTTTTCAGTTTGTCGTTTCAGAAGGTAAAAGGATGTTGAAGTGTCTTATTACTGGTGATGTTAACCTTGCATAAGGTGGTGTCTACAAGATTTTTTTACTGTGAAGTTAGTTTTCCCATTATAATATCTTCTACTAATTTGAATTTTTAATAGAAAATAAGCGTAGAAGAGATAAACTGTTCTGTTTCTTCAAATCTTTATGACTAGTTGGTTTTAATAGCATAATCTTAATCTGATTAGTTTAATAATTAACATCTTTTTTGCAGGTAGTTATGTTGGGAAAATGACATTTTGAATAGCCTTAACCTATATTTTCAGAACATTTATTCAACTTGAAGTTTGCTGCAAAAGAACTTAATAGGAATGCCAAGAGATGTGATAAAGAAGAAAAGGCTGAAAAGGACATGATTAAAAAGGTCAGCCACTTTTAATATGTTTAGTTTTTTTTCACTCATGAAATGAGCATAATTAATCATGGAAGAACGGTTAGTTGTATACAGTTCATTTTACATTGAAGAAAGATTAACTGGCTGTAGCATTCTAAACAAAGTATCCCTTTATTATCCTACATTATTGATAATGCCTGTGTTTAAATGTTTATTACCATTTATATGTACAAGTATGGCCCACAAGATGGAGTGTAACTATTGTGTTACTTAGATCTAAATACTGGCCTTTGGTTTATAGCTAAAATCACTCTTGAGAAGTATAAAGCCCATATGTAAGAACATTTAACATTTTTTTGGCTGATTTTAATTTCTACAGTTTTCAGCATTTTATATCTAACCATTGCATAGCATTAATGTATATTGTGATTAGTATATTTGCTAGGAGGATTCATATGACTCAGTATATAGTTGTACTCACAGCTATGATTTATTTCAGTAAAAGGATACAAAGCAGAATAAACAAAGGGAAAAGGTGAATGGGGCGAAGTCTGGAGGATCTAGGCTCAAGATGTCAAGAGTGATCTCCCAGTGGTGTCACACAGGACAAGCTTCATTCCTCCAGCTAGTTATGACGGCACATGTGAAATGTCTACTGGGGAAGTTCTCCTGGGCCTAGGAATCCAAGGTTTATGTCATTAGTTAGTCACATAGGCACTTTCTGCCTAGCACATACCAAAATCCCAGATCTCCAGAAGTAAATCAGGTGTTTGGCATAAATCACCATTGTTTGTACAGTTTAGGCACAGTAAGCCACTCTTTCCAGTGATGGGCACATTTCCCAAGTCCAAGTTCCTAGATGCCAGCCAAATGCCAAAATTATAAGCAGGCCTTTCTAAGGATGGTAGTCTCAGGCCTGCTGTGTTAATTCTTTTCTGCACATGTGCATTTATAGATCTGTTTTTAATATTGTATTACCTTTTATATTTAGATAGTGATAATAGCATATATCAGTTCTTATATTGAGTCACTGGGTATTTTGTCTATACTCTTTTTGAGAAAACTTTACAAGAAGAAAACTTTTAGGAAAGAAGATGGAAGTATTTAGGCTGAGTTAGGAGAAAAGATAAGCTTGAAATTGATGTGTTAGGATTACTCTTCTCTAAAAACATGCTCAACTATTGCAAGGAAAGAAAAACCTCTAAAAGATATTTATACTTTAATTTTTCTAAAGTTTTGGTATACTCAGGAGTTTAAAATTAATCAAAAAATCATTTTTGAGGTACCAAATCTTAGGAAAGCACAGTAGTATTAAAACGTGCAAGTTATTCTACCATATACAATCCCAATTAACATTCTTTTATGCAAGCAGTTGACTGACAGGGAACAGTGCTTCGTGAGCATGTCTCGTGCATCGTGATTCTACTCTTCCTGCTATATATTTCTTCATTTTCCCAATATATTCCAACCAGTCTTACAGTAACCTTTTTTTCATTACTATTAAAACGTTTTAAAAGCATTTTCCATTGAAATTAACTCTCAAAGGGTTTGATTTTGAAATGTGCGAATCCATATACCAAAATATGTTTCATATAAATTGAAAATAGAAACCCTTAAAAATAAAACCATATATATACAAGAAATGAAAATGAGGGGCAGGAATTTTTATAATTTTGTAGTGGGGGCTACAAAACAGAAAACACAGAAGCCAAAAAAGGAAGACTGATAAATTTGACTATGTAGAAAAAAATTTTCTATGTCTAAGAATTCCATTAAAAAGTCAAAAGAAAATACCTAGGAAAGAATCTTTGCATCTTTGCACAAATACAATAGCATATCTGTTTAATATATAAAAAGCTCTTAAACCAATTAAGAAAAAAGCTAATAGTTTATTAAAAATTAGGCAAAGCATATCAAGTATTTCACAGGAAAGTCTTTTAAACACTGTTACACTTTCCTCTGTGTAACTGAGATGGAGAAAAGAGAAAGAATTCACTCAAAGTACCATTAGTAAGGCCTGGAGGGACTGCAACCCATCAGGGGAGCAGCCCTGATCCAAAATCAGCTTTCGCTTTTATTGACAAGGAAGTTTCACAAGGAAAATCAGTTGATTCAATCATCAAAGGACAAGGGCAATGTTACAAAAGTATAGCTTAACATGGAAAGTAGTAACATCAGTAAAATAAAGTGACATTCCAAGGTACAATTAGTAAAAAGCTAAGTTGGTCAAACTAGCTCATTATCTAAAGTATGACCTCTCCTAAATACACTTATTTCTAAAGTTTCCCCCAACAGACAGCTTGCTCCTAGAGACTTTATAGCCTAGGGAAAATTTCCTGTCCTTTGCAAGGTCAATATTTGAAACTCCAAGGCTTTGGAAAACCAGGCCCTGTGAATTGCATATGCTTTTATGCATTTTCCACAAAACACACAAAGAGATCAGCATCATAATTTTTAAATGCTTTACTTTTAAAATATAAGTTATGATAGATTTATAAAGCTGAAAAAGTTTGATAATGTGCTTTGTTATCAAGGACATGGGGGAATAGCCACTAATAAAAATTGTATGATGGGACTTCAGAAAGTTCATGGAAAATGGAATTAAAAGATTAAAATTATAAACTTTATTTTCCTTATAAGCTATACCAAGTTCAAGACACTTCTGTATGCGATTATACCAGCTACTTAGTCCATCCCTAAAGAACTGAGGGTCCTGGGAATTTAACCATGTCAATGCAGTCTTCACATTATCAACTGAAGAAAACAGGTTGCCATTTAAAAACTTTTTAAGAGTAGGAAACAAAAAGAAATCAAAAGGAGTTGAATCAGGACTGTAAGGGGGATGCCGAATTATTTCCCATCAGATCTCTCACAAAATTGCCCTTGTTTGAGAGGAATGAGCAGGAGCATTTGTTGTGGTATAGGACTCTCTGGTGAAGCTTTCCCAGTCATTTTTCTGCTAAAGCTTTGGCCAGCCTTCTCCAAACATTCTCATAATAAGCAGATGTTATTGTTCTTTGGCCCTCCAAAAAGTCTGGACCACTTCCATCTCTTGGTAGCCATGGCTTTGACTGTGCTTTGTCTTCAGGATCATACTAGTAAAGTCAAGTTTCATCTCTTGCTACAATTCATTGAAGCAAGCAGAGAGTTTACTTTACTGTAATTATTCAGTCAAAATTATGTAAGCAAAGCAGTTGAAATGTCTTTGGTGTTGGCTATTGTTTCTGCTGCTAATTGTCAGTCCTCTTTAATTAGGGCACCAACAGGATTAAGTTTTTCCTTGAAACTTGATGTAAATCTTCTGCTGTCCCTTCTTAAAATGATATATCCATTTGTAAACTGCTGATTGCTTTGGAGCATTGTACCCTTCATCTTTTTATGAAGCATCAGTTATTTCATCATTCTTCCACCCAAGCTTCACCATCAATTTGGTGTTTGCTCCTGCTTCAATTAGCAGAATTCATGGTGCTCTGATAGGGGCTCTTTTCAAACTGATGTCTTATCCTTCTTCGTGCCTCAAACTAAATCCTGTTCAGACATATTATAACAAGTTAGTACAAGTTTATTTGAGTGCAAAAACATTTGAAATTCATGCATTGTTTTTTCATAATACGCATTTTCCACAAACTTTTTGAAGACCTCTTGAGAAGTATTGAAAAGAAAGTATGAAATTATCATTTAAGCGAGTGGAATAAGTTAATTAGGAAAATATGTTAATCCATCAACAAGTCATCTGGATGCTCTTAAATCCCTTTTAAATCAGATAACTTGGCAAGATGTAAGCAACATTAAAACACTCTGACCCAACAATTTTACTTCTAGGAATTCATCTTAAGGACATGATCAAAGATCACCATAAAGATTTATACATAAGAATGTTCACTACAGTGGTATTTAAAATAGGGGGGAAAATAGTTAGCTATCACTTTGATGCCCAATAATAGAGGACTGATTAGGTAATTATAATATATCCATATCACAGAATACTGTTTTATTAATCTAAAAAAATAATGTTTCAGAAAAATAGCTAATGACATGGGGGAAATGCTCACAACATAAATAACAGCAACCTATTAACACTTACTGAATGCCTGTTATGTACCAGGCACTGGGAATACAATGCTGAGTAAGACAGATCCCAACTGGTGGAAGGAAACAATCACAAAAAATAAACAAGGCAACTACATTAGACAGCAGTAAGTGCTTTAATGAAAATAAAACGGGGCAATCTAATAGGGCAATAGAATGGATGGACTACTTTAAGCTGGGTAGTTAGGAAAGATCACTTGAGGGAAATGACATTTAAGTTGAAAACTGAATGTCCAGAAGGAAACAGCCCTGCAAAGATCTGGGGGAAAAGTTTGTTCAGCCAGAGGAAACAGCTAATGCAAAGTCTTCAAGACAAGATTAAGCTGGATGTATTCTAGAAAAAGTGTAAAGTCCACTGTTTGCTGGAACAGAGTGATTAAGGGGGGTAGTAAGAGATGAGGTCAGACATGCAGGCAGGGCCAGATAGTATAAAGTGTTATATATAGGGCATGGTAAGTATTCTGGATTTTGTGATGGGAAGCCACTATAGGGCTCTAAGTGGGAAATGGCATGATCATAATCTACTGTAAAAAATGATCACTCTGGATATTGGGGAAAGAATGGGCCATAGTGGGCAAAAGTAGATGTAGCTGAGAGGTTAGGGCAGTAGGGCAGAAAAGAAATGATGTGGTTTGGTTTAGGGTATTGGCAGTGGAGATGGTGAGACCTAGTAAGGTTCAGGATATATTTTGAAGGTAGACTTGTTGTGGACTACATGCGGGGTAAAAGTAAGTAATTATGACTTCCAGGCTTCTAGCTTGAACAAATGGGTGCAGAGTTGCTATTTACTAAAATGGAAAATATTGGAGAAGTGGATAATGATTATGTTTTAGTATGTATAGGGGGTGGAAATCAAGCATTCTAATTTTGGAAAATATTAGGTTTGAGATGTCTGTTAAATACCCAAATAGAAATGACAGAATGAGAGCCAGATACGTGAG